TGCCAAAAACCGCTGTACGAATCTAATTCAGTAAAATGTATTATAATAACGGCAATTGGTGAAATCAGCGAGAACAAGCCAATATACGAGTTCTCACCACAGATGACATAAATAAGATAGTGAACTAGAGTCCAGACAAAATCAATGGTTTCCGTCCCGTTTTGTAACAACAACTATAGGGTGACAGTATGAGGTCAAATTCTTATTATGCAGATGGCGTAAAAACTTGGTCATGTGTTTTCTATGAAAACAGGGTGCATAAGGTCCATGCTAAAATCACAGCACAAATCTTTATGTACAAAACAGGCGATAACACAGGCGAAGACAATGTTTGTTTTTGGTTTAAAATAAAAAAAACATGGATATGAATCAATAAAAATATCACCGAAATTTCACTACACAACATATTACTTTTACTATTCTAGTATTGCTTAATTTGATGGTTAAATTGATTTGTGGGCTTTCTTTTCTAGTAATTTTGATACAGATATGGCAAGGATAAAAGTTGTATTGTATTTAAAAGTTTAATGAAATAGCTATCCGGGACAGATCTAATGACAATGATATTTCAATCCAACAGTTAAATCTTTAATATACTAAACAATGTATAAATGTACCAAAATATTGTACATATCTGCATCAAATAAAGAGAAGTAAATCTCTAGACTTTAGCTATCAAATTAAATCAATAGATTTATCTCATATCTTGGACATTACCTAATATTACTATGAATAGTAAAAAAGAACATGTTGTGTGGAACATTTCTGTGATAAAATTGAATAAATAGCTAGGGCCTTATTCTCCAAAACTTATCCAAGATAAAATCCAGATTTTAGTAAATACAGTACTCTGATTGGATAATAAAACTTTATTTTAAATCGATTTGAGTGTTTGACCAATCAGATGACTGGGATACTAAAATCATCTTCAGTTAAGTTTTGGAGAATAGCGCCCTATGATTAGACAATAGTTTATAATTACAATTCTATTTACAATATACTACAATCAATGTACAAATATTTCTTACAAAAACTTATAAGTTTTTAGTTATAAAAACTGACGATATAATGTGGCAGCCATGTTCAATATTAGACTATGGGACTACTAAGCTATAAAAACTCAAGCCCACAAGGCAGTTTTATAATTGAATTTTAAATATCTATTCACTAACTCCTTCCTTTTTCTTTAAGAATTTATTACAAATCTATATTGTCTTTACACTAGTGATATTTTTGGAGTTGAAGCAAAGCATCTGTTATTTTGAATGAAATACAGGTGATAATGAGTGGAATCTGGTCCTAAATGATGTATAAATATTCAAGAAATTTGAGCTAAAAAGGTACGTGTAAATGGTGCTAAGAATGGCAAGGATATATTTCATAACAGACAATGGCCTTGAATATGATTTGAGCTAGAGTAAGGCAGGACTAGTGTAATAAATGTTATGATGTGATAATGTATTTATAAACTTGATAACTTTATATGACATATAACACAACTCCAGATAACCTTAAAAATAAAATCACATACAATTTCATTCAATGATCTTGGTCAAATATCTATTGTCTTTTATTGCGTATTAATTCAATCTTGGATTGATTCAAAGAATGTTGTTAATTATCATTTAGGTGAAGCCATAACTTGCCTTTTCCAATGATTTATCAAGTTCTAATATTCATTAACTTTGATTGCATGTAATAGAAGCATACAATAATTAAACCAATACAAAAGCTCAAATATTCATTACCTATAAATGCTATTTAATTTGGCAGCATAATATAATAATAGTTAATACATAAGCCCTAAGTATATGTGTGGTCATTTTATGCATCAAAAGCAAAATATTGAGAGTATTTTGATAGTCAATGATAAGCTCCTACAGAAAATAGAATAATAGTGATAACAATTTCTTTGAAAAATGTTCATGATTTTTAGAAAACAAAAAACTTTGAATTGATATAAAATGTATGAATAGCTTTTACAGAAAATTAAATTAATCAATTGAAAATAGCATTACTTTAGATCATTGACAGAATAGAACCAAAGTCAGGTGATAAATAGTGATATCCTTATACTGAACATTATGATACAGTGGAAATCACAATATTTTTAAATAATATCCATTACAAAATGTCTGAAATGAGTTATACAGAAAATTACTTTAAAAACTGAGAATAACAGTGTTTTTTGAATAATATCCATTACAACAAGTCTGAAGTGAGTTATATAGAAAATTACTATAAAAACTGAGAATAACAGTGTTTTTTGAATAATATCCATTACAACAAGTCTGAAGTGAGTTATACAGAAAATTACTATAGAAACTGAGAATAACAGTGTTTTTTGAATAATATCCATTACAACAAGTCTGAAGTGAGTTATACAGAAAATTACAATAGAAACTGAGAATAACAGTGTTTTTTGAATAATATCCATTACAACAAGTCTGAAGTGAGTTATATAGAAAATGACTATAAAAACTGAGAATAGCAGTGTTTGTAAATAATGTCCATGATATACACTGTGATGATAAAGTTATATTTTAATGTGATATATGTTTATTATAATAAATTAAATGATTTGTTAATCTAAAACTACCGACAATATTGCTTCACTTCAAAACACGAATATATTAACCTACTTAACATCTAATTTAAATATTCCAAATATGGTATGATATTTTACACTGGTATACATGTATAATGATGTGTTTCCATATAAAACCTGATAGGTCAAAAACTCAATACTTCCTCATAGTTCATTAGCTGCTACTAATGTTTAGCCAATATGTGGTTTAGATTTCTGGATTTTATTTTGAGATTCGGATTGTTAGTACTTGGGGTTTTAATTCTTATTATTTACAGGATCAATTTAATTCAAATTTTCCCAATTTTTTTTTACACAATTTAACTCAAATACATCTTTTAAAAAAAATATTTAAAATAATTCTGGCTTGATTATCTGTATAACTTGTTAAGAATTTGAAATCATTGCATGAAAAAATTTAAAATTTTTGATGGACAACCCTTCCCTTCAATTGCTATATATGAAAACACACCATCATAATAATTACAAATTATGGAACAATTTTAAATTTTGAAAATTTTCGATGCCCCTCGTAACTTAATAATCATTTTTAAGATTACGATTCCAACTGGGGCATCAGATGATTCAAAATAACCACAGAATAAACTGCTAGGGAGTCAAATTTCAAGTTGCCTTAATATATTAGATATAGTAGAATAAACTGGACTAAACATACAAAATATTTGTCATTTTTCGGCCAAGCTAGAGAAACATAAATCACACTAAAATAAAAAACGAAATAAAAACATTTTTCTAAATTAATAAATTAATATTCATTGGACAAATATTGATCAATTATAAGATTGAGACAGAAAATATCTCCAGCTTTCTAAATTTTTGGGCTTTTTAAATCAAGAATTCTATGATTTGTATTTTAACATTAATTAACAAAATACAAATCTAATTCTGCTAATTTTACTAGTTCCTTACTAACCAAAAAAAATTGATTAATAAAATAAGCAGGAATATTTCAAATTATACATTTATTCTTATTTCTGTAAAGTTTTCAAGTTTCAAAAATTCTGAAAATTAATGATCTAGATTTAGTATCGAATTTTCCTGATTCAATCCCAAAAAAAGATCTGTATCAAATTGGTATTTATTTAACAAAGAGAATGAGCTGAGTAGAAAACAAACAAAAAGACGAGAAATAAACATGGTATATTGCACGTCAAGAAAGATGAGAATGGCAAGAGGAGAGTGAGAGAGGGAATCATGATAAATTCACAAGCTTACGACTTCTGGTAGTGGTCAAACGTCGTTAGTTTTACCCTAATAATTGAATGCTAAGTACTCTGATTGGTGAATTTTCATGCAATCACTACTTAAATGGGCAAAAATTTTGTGCTCAAATTTGTGAAAACTAAAATCTACAGAAATTTGCCCTTTAACGTATCTGAAAGTTTTAACTGAACATATCCAGCCATTAATTTTTAAATGTCAAAAATATTTAAAAACACTACGTAAGGTTTTTAAGTTTGTTCTGCTTTTTTTTTTACTTAATCAGTCAAGTCCAGGATAAATGTGTTGTTAAAAAATCCTTAACAACAATAATTTTCATATAATCACTGCTGAATAAACCAATCAGACCTCTTACTTTTTAGAATGGATCATCTACTTCAGCTTCGGGAGTTCTTTTAATTTGAATGAAAGACCTGATGGGGTACTGCAATGCTTTAATAGATACCAAGTGAAATATCATAAGTTGGACCAAAAGAGTCTCCACAAGTTAACTAATTATGGGTACTAAGTTAGATGTTTGATGTTTAACCATACCCTTTTTTCCGTTGGGTTAAAATTATTAATCCTGGAAACTCTAGTGAATCTCCAAATGTATTTAATTACAACATTTTACTGGTTAATTCTTTCTTGTTTTTATTTAAGTACTAACTAAATATCACTACCTGTAACTACAAGCTTGATTGGCTCAAACCAATCAGAATACAGAAATGCCCCAAATTGTGAAAAAATAGAAAAAATTATTGAAAGACCTGCCTCTCTATCGGTGTATTGTCATAACAAAAATGGGGTAATGCTTTAAGCAAAGAACATACAAAACACAGCGTAATCAATAAAAATTATAAAAAAATGTGTAGTTTTTGATTGGCAATTTCCACTGGGGAATTAGGAATCAAGATAGACTGTACCCGAAACCTTAACTGAACTAACCATAAGTTTATCCATACAATGGATGTGGTCTGAATTTAAATTATATCCTTTAATTTCATTGGTTGAATAAACCACATTGTTCCTTCTGATTGGTTGATCTAGATATAGCCTCATCTTGATTCCCAGCTAAAAGTTTTTAATCCAAATATGGATAAATAGGCAAACCGAGTTGCTCGGATGCTGTCAATAAAAGAACGAATAAAATAACGAGACAGGCAACGCCCCCTAGCAGTTCTTGTAGATGTCATACCATAGATTGTTTGGGGTTGGTTCCTATGGTAACTAAAGCACCAGCAGTTATGGCCACTCTTATCACACTCTTCTCTTCTAGAATATCGTGAACAGAACAAATCTGGTCCTGAAATAAACAGAAAATAATTTCAAATCAAAATGGATTCAATATTGTTACTCAAAGACTTGGGAATTAAAAATGATTGAATAAAAGTTGGACTATTATGTTAGTCTAATGACGTAGAAGACTGTGCAAGTCTATCAGTTTCTTGAAGCATAAAGATATATATTAGTATTGACAAGTCCAAGCATTTAAAGGGAGAGAATTCTTAACAAATTTAAAAAAAATTGAAGCTCAAATTCAATATGGATTTTGGTTTTGGATTTAGACTCAAGCTTACATATTAAATACATCTATTTTCACAGTTCAGTCAGTACAAACAATGTTACACTCAATAGGTTTGACTTCTGAACCCCAGATAAAAAATTATTTTGAGTTTAGTGAGTTCGAGATCAGAAATATATGGTAAAGATTACAAAGTTTAATATAAACAGAAAAATATACAATATAGTTTATATAACTAGAATACAAACTAATAACAATATTATACAATATAATACTTATAACAAGGCAATGTGTTATATCTGATTTTACAGATACAGTCTAGACTGACTGTTACTAGAAACAGAGACAAGGTGTAAAGAGTAGAGATACTGATGCTGGTGCAGTGTACAATGGAGTCTTATTGATACAGTAGTAAAATAGTGAATGATCTAGACCTAATGAGGACATCCTTCACTTCTGTCTATTTTCTACTGTATCAACAATCCTACACCAGACACTGTACTGGAGCCTTGTTTATTTGCACCTTAAGCTTAGCTATTCCAGAAAGAGCTTGCTTATTGCTTTTATTATGGGCCATACAAGCTAATAAATACAATATTCTGTGCAGTTCTGGACACTGTTTCACAATAAAACTTTTAAAATTTTATCATATGTGTGAAATTTTACATTGAGAATTGGTTGGAAGTTTTTTTTTAAACGGAGCCCTGTCCTTCAGCCAGAAGTTCATAATTTCATATGACCGAAAGAAAAGTCTCCTAAGAAATCTCTTTTTAAATAACAATCAAAGCCATATGAGACTGGAGGGCTGTATCAATACTGATCAAATTGATTCTAGGCAGCCAATTAGAAACAAACATTCAGCAATAGTAATTAAGGCTAACATACACCAATTTCAACATACTACATAATACACTTATACAAATAGAAAATATACATTGTTATACATTGTTATACATTGTTATACAAAATATACAGGTTGTTGAAAGACTTTTTTAACAAATTAACACAATGGGAACAAAATATTAACAAAAAAAAAAAAAACTAAGAAAAAAACAATCTCGACTAATTTCACAGTTCTAAATTGAAACATCTTTTGATTTTACAATAGCCAATTGAGCAAATAATCTTAGAAATAATTTCACAAACATCACGAAATAATAACACAAACATCACGAAATAATAACACATACATCACGAAATAATAACACAAACATCACGAAATAATAACACAAACATCACGAAATAATAACACAAACATCACGAAATAATAACACAAACATCACGAAATAATAACACAAACATCACAAAATAATAACACAAACATCACGAAATAATAACACAAACATCACGAAATAATAACACAAACATCACGAAATAGCAGTTGACTTTTATTCATTATAAATAAACAGCTAACTATTACAAGGATAACAACTTAATTTCTCAAGGATCGTGTCTACCAGCTGATCCTCAACTTGGCAAATCTTTTGGTATTGTTTATAAGGATAACAACTCAGATTCACATGGATCCTATCTACCAGCTGGTCCATAGCAAAACTTCTTGACAATGATTTTACCAGGGTTCTTAACGATCCAAAGCTAGGTTTTAACATATTTTATTTACCAACTGGGCAGAAACTCTTGACATTAAAGTTTTGTTCACGAAGATCCTGTCCTCCTACTGGCCAGTAACCAAACCTTTTGATATTGAAGATGAAGGTAACCATATCTTACAAGAATAACAACTGATGTTCTCTAAGATCCTGTTGTCTGAGGTCTGAGGTATTGGACGATTCTTTCCATTAAGAAATGAAATTTTTTAGGATCTGTTGAGGTATTTGATTTGGTTCTTTTTATTTGACCTTTCCTTCACGTCCAATGTTTAATTCCATAGAAACAGCAGGTATAATATTTAAGACACATTAACGAACAAGAGAATAACGGTTAAAGTAGAAATAAAGACTAGTAAACAGAAATAAGTGACTAAGTAGTCTAGATTAGTAAGTCTAGGATAGCGAGTTAATTGTTGCACAGTTCTAGTTAGACGACCAGCACGAACAAACTCTATGATGTCATCACATGCACACAGATCTTCCTGAAACGAGGCATAAAATATGCACGATTAGTTCTCGTTTAATTCTTAATGCTTAGACAACTTGCCTTTAAGTTTGAGATCTGTCTTAAAGAAATAAAACTCTATACAAGCAAGACAATTCCATTAATCAACATCACGTCCAAAGTATGGTAAAATCAAGAGTAAAAATGAAGAAAAATAATTTCTTATTGAATTAATTGCCAATGATTTTGATGTAATTCTGTTTATTCTGTTTTTGATGGAAGTTAATTTTGAAGTAATAATAACTGGAGGTATGTAACCAATACATGATTTGTTAAATTACACTGGTAACAATTGATATTGGATGTCTTGATTTACTCAAATGTTTTATATTAAAAGTCAAAAATGAAGATAGATGCAAGACAAATTGCCTAAACATTCAAATACAATGCTATTTTTTATCAGAAACTCTTTTAAAATTTTTGAAATTATTTAATCTTGTCTTAACTTTTGAAATATTTCACAATATTGGTAAATTTTTAAATTGAAATAAAGTTGGAACAGCATAAATGAGATTAATATGAAAAGAACCAAACAGAAAACCTGGTCTCACTAAAACTGTGCAACAAACTCACTGAAAATTAAAACAAGCAACATTCAACATTTTCAAGGATGCAAAATTTCACAAAACAATTCTGAAATATGAGAAATTCGATAAAAAAAAATATTATTTAGAGCAACAAAACTTTTTTTTAAACTAGCATTGATGGATTATTACTAATTATTGAGTTAAAAGTATGAGTTATTTCATAATTCCAGTAATAGCCGTATCAGTTTTAACTATTTAATAAACTGTGCATCCTTGATGACTAAAGGCTAGAAATAAATATCACAAAGTAACATTAAGATTCTAAACTTTTATATAAAGTGGTAAACTTTACGCCTTTGTTTTATAATAAATACAATCATATAAGAATGAGAGTAATAAACATTAATAAAGATGTATTGAAATATTTTGATTTGTATCTGATAGCAAGCCCTTTGTTTTAAGTTCAAGAAACTGAGTATCAATCAATAGATTTGTCACCTAATGCATGTATCTATCTTAGCCAAAAAATATGCTGATATGATTATATTTGTTCATTCATTAAGTTCTATCCTTACATTTTAAATACATAAAGAGAAAGGTATATAATATGAACGAAACAAAATAATCAGCAATCAAACAGAATTATCTTGGAAAATATCAAATATAACACAAAAATAAACTAAGTGAGGAATGTTAGTTCACAGTTAAACAAAAGGAAACAAACAAAAATTAAATATAGTACACAAAAGCCTGATAGTTGACACAAAAACATGATAGTTGACACAAAAACAAAAGTAACAAAGTGAAACAAGATTGAAATATAATAATTTACAGTCAAACAAAGAAATACATGTCCCACTAAAAACATCAGAACATTTTCATTAAAGATTATTATTTGGAAAGAAAAGTACAGAAAATTAACATATACTCTACAACGTCTCCTTTATTAGACATAAAAATCTTCAAAAAACTCTGAAATGAAACAGAGAAATATAAAATAATTAAAATATCACACTGACCTGCCGAACTCCAATCTTACGACACGCTTCCAGAAAATTCTCTACATTCCGTCGACATTTGGCCATTGTTAATTTGGGCTGAAATATAAAATGGTTGTCAAGTTATTTCACACTATCAATAAGTTTGATTTAGAAGTCTTCAAAATATTGCTGTTGCGCTTGGATACCTGTCAATTTGAACATATCCCTAATATCATTGATATCTTACATTAAAAGAAATAAAATTGAACAGAAGTAAAGGATTATACACGAGTCTACTGAGTAAAGTTAAATACATGGGACTATCTTGCCTCTAAATAACAATATCAAATTAGTTTATACTTGAAAATAAGATTTCATAAAAGTACAAATTAAACTTTCTCTTTCTCATGTAGATTTAATCAGTGGTGGAGTCAGGTTTACGTCCGAAGGTGGCCGAAATATCTAAGATTGTCCGAATCTCTAACCTAGGTATGAGATTTTGCTCGAAAACTTGCTTAAGTGGCTGCAAGGAACTGTGAGTTTTGAAGCATAATACATATTTGGGTTCCCACTCACAGCCAGGTTTAATACTATTTCTATATTGAAAGGTTATTCTTGTATTATTTAGAATTGTTCACAGAACGTATACAACAATATAACTTACCACTGCTGGTGAGGGAACATGGATACTAGCTACAGATCGTGGTCGAATCTGATTGGCTAAATGACATAAAACAACGCCATCTCGTAAAGCGTCTGGTAGGTTGTCAGGTAACGTGACCTTTAACCTTGACTCTATTGTCTGAAAATAACAAAAGATAGGAATATAATGGTTTTCAACTACAGACTCTTTTAGACTTTAGTTTATCTTCAATCACTTTCTTGTCAGCTACAGTCTGGTTGGTAAAACATTTACTAACTTTAAATAGCAGTCTTATCAAAATTAGACTAAACTTTTATTACGTTTTTTGTTAACAAATAACTACCGTATTAATAAGAAGAGAAAAGTAGGGAAGATAATTTTTCTTCAAATAACTTCTGTGAATCCTAGTGAAAAGGGAAACAACTATCCTACCTGTCTAAGTTGGTCAAGGTGATCAACCTCCTCTCTCTGTTGTTCGTGATGACGTCTGATAGTAAAATTAGGATTCGAATCTTTATATTCTTCTAATAACTTCATTGTTCCCGTCGATAAAGCTACAAAAATATTCAAATTTATTAAAAATAGCAACATCTTGAAAAACATCAGACTTCAATCAAAACACAAACAATGAATATAAATTCTTAAAAAAACATATCAGCAAAAACTTTCTGGTTTTCTAGAAATCCTTCATTTTTAAATCTGTTTGATTGATATTTGTTAAAAATGAAGGTTTTATAAATATATTTAGCAGTTGATATAAAGTTATATTGAAACATCCAATCTGTTTTGTTTTGTCAGCAGGTGATTCACCTTGCCTTGATGATCAGGTTAATTACTTGCAGACAAAATATGAAACCAAATATTCAGATCTGCATTTTTATCAAATTGAAAAACTGCTGAATTTTTCTGTGTTTTCATATAGCATCAATTATATGTTGTATATTTAACAGAAAGTCAATAGGGTAATGTTATAGATATATCAATTTAAAATACAGAGAATAAAATCTTAATATCTAATGCCATGCTATTTATATTATAATTATTGTAATTTGTAAATAATAAAGATTGATTAAATTGTTAAAATATTTGTTATAAAGAAAGAGAGTTTGAGATGATAATGGTAAAGAAATTATTTATTATCACAGCAAATATTTGTTAGTTCACTTTCAGGTGCAATGAAGATATAAAGATAGAAGTTTTAGTCAGATGTCAGAGATTTTTAACTTTGAGACTTCAAATCATGCTACAGCTACAGTAGTTAATATTAAATATATACAGCATTCATTATCATATCATCTTTTATATAACAAAATATTTATATTTATATTTCTTATATTAACATCTTCACTCTCCCAATTCAAACATGTTCATTCAAATATCGTACATATATTATTTTATCATATATATATTATGCAGACGACACTATATTTACTGCCAACAGATCCAGCCCTGTTTATGATGATTATGTGTTAAAGTGGACATAATACTCATTCTAGAAAACACTGGCCGAGTACTTTGTGTAAATCAATAGTCAACCACTCCCCCTTATTGCAAGAAGCAGTTAGCTAGTTTGGAATTCAGCTCTATTAGGGTTATTTTTAGTTTCAATGAAAGCCAAGCAAATGATAAGTATTAATGTATTAAGAATTCTGATTGGTTAGTCAAATATAAAAGCTGTTGTTATGAAGTTAATGATTAGTCAGTTTTAAAGTCATGTGACCGAATTCCAGATGAATGACTGGACTAACCTTGACTATCATTAGACTCAATCGAACAGTGACTTACTGTAACAAAACACAAGTTTGACATTAACATATACATAATTCATGCCTTCCAGCCAGTTTCAGGTTTCTTTCATACATAAGCTTATTTTGTTTCTTTTAATTTCTTTGGGTAACCTCACTCAATCTGATTCTGGCAACATCCTTCTAAGATTCAAGTTTGATCTGATCACATGATTTATATAAACCAATAAAATCCAACATTAGATGTCAGCAATATTTGGTATTGAATATTTTAGAATTCTCACAAGCGGAGGCTGATCTGCGTTTGTTGGTAAAAACCATGGCTACAACTAGACTAAGTGAAATAACCCACACAAAATAAACGAAACTAAGCAACCACATCACTTCACACTATTTTTAATATAGCTGAAAAGCAAAATTCACTACATTGTCTATTTCTGCTCTTTTCCACCAAATTTCCTTTTTTTTAGGTTTCTTACTCAACAAAGACCATTACATGACCATTTTTACTGAGTAAATGGCCATTTCCAAAAAATTCAATACTGTCGCTAAAAGGAGCAATGGAAACCATTACACCGACACATCCAAAATAATGATCATCCAAACGCTTGATCCAAAATAACTAATGAAATAAATGGATGACAATGAATGGTATTTTTCACAGGAATTAAACCTGAAACTGGCTTATTATAGATTGAGTTCTCTAAAAATATAATGCTCGGTCTTACAGAGCTTCGTTTGACTTTTCTGTATTTTACCAACAGGATTCACTTAGATAATATATGATGTCACCTAAAATATATTTACTAGTATGACTTTGTAACATTTTGGTGATGTAACTGTTTTAAGTCAAGCTAAAGACCTGCTAGATAGCACCCTAAGGCTAATCATTATCTGCTAGACAGCACCCTAAGGCTAGGCATTATCTGCTAGATAGCACCCTAAGGCTAGGCATTATCTGCTAGATAGCACCCTAAGGCTAGGCATTATCTGCTAGATAGCACCCTAAGGCTAGGCATTATCTGCTAGATAGCACCCTAAGGCTAGGCATTATCTGTTTGAAAGGAACAGTTCAAAAAGCTCAGAGGATACTCTATAAGATGAGAATGATAAAATTAGAGAACACAATCCCTTCAAGGGATACACGCACATAAGTATTTAATTTTTGGTAGCAGAAAAAGCTGGAATCACACGTCATTTCAACTAACATTAGTGTGGTCTGTAGGCAATAAAACCAAAACACAGTTGTCTATTGTTGGTTCCATGTTGAGCCAATGAGCCAATTTGTCCACTGAATTTATTTCATATTTTTATTTATCAAATATTAACAGATTAATGCTGATATAATCTGCCATTCCTGTTCCACAATTGATTATCAGTTTTCAAAAAAACATTCCCTTTGTATCTCTCATAATTTAATTGAAAATACAAGAGCAACTATTTCAGTAAACATGTCGTCATTATAATGTTCAAATGCAGATAATTCTGGACACACGTGGATTTGAAGACTCAAATTTCGACAGTGAGTTGTGAACACTATTACTGATTGACTTAGCTAAAAAATTCCTGTTTCTGAGACTAAAGCATGATTGGTCGAATGGAGGGCAAACCTGTCTATTAATGCCGAATTTTGGCAAAATTTGTACAAAATTGATATTTATATTATAGAAAATCAGATTAACATAAAGAAAGGGACATGTCAATTGAATCTGGCTTCGGACCAATTCTCTTCCAAATCAACATCAGTAAAGATCCAACAATGTTAACACTGATTAAGCAGCAAAGCTTTTCACTGTAAAAATTGTCAGTAACATTTTGCTATTCAGACATCAAGTCTGTTTATCATGTTATAAATTAGTTATAAGCTTTCTAGATTAATATATTTAAATAATAAAACCTCTATTGCCAAACTGCACAGCGTTCCTTAAAGGAGATCACCCACGTACAAATATTGTTATTGACCTACACAACACACTAATGTGAAAACTAACTAAATTAAATACTTACGAATCGGTATCCCTTTAATAGTTCAACAATCAGTTTTAAAATTTGTCATGGGATCAATAAATTTAAATACTTTTGGCTAGAATTTTGGAATTCAGACAACCCCAAAAACCAGTGGGCTTATTCTCTAAAACTTGACTCAAGATAATTCTAGTGTTTCTGTCATCTGATTGGTCAATGGATGTTAAATATAGTTTTATTATCCAATTCGATGACTTAGTTCTAAACATCTAGATTTTAACTTAATTAACAAAGAACCCAAATGTAAAATGATATGCAAGATGACTTGTGAAATGAAATCAACACTGGGCTACGTCATTCCAAATATTTTTAACAATTCACAATGACTAAAAGCTCAATTATCTTTTGCACAATATGCACCTTCTAACGATATTTCACCACTTTAAACTGAATTCTATTCAAAAGTGTAAAAACTTGAAATTATGTAAAAAAAACAACATGCAAAATTAAGATAAGTGAAATATAAACTCAGTGATATGAGAAAAATGTTAAAATATTTCACTCACCTGATCTGTTACGATTTGATTGTGGTGCATTATGGGAATTGTTGGTCGTCGTCGAATTCGCTACTCTCTAAAAAAGGAGACAAAATTAAGAGTGATTATTATTCATTCACCAAGGTATTCACCTTATACAAGCTGAGAGCATGACCATAATCACACAAAATTAGACTTTTTTGGTTGGTTATATAATTCATTCTGTCGTTTACTTATTTCGATTTGTCGTGGCCATTGTAATATATTTAGAATAAGACAATGTTCAACATAAATTTCTTCAAAGTAAATTCAAAAGAACCACAAACCTTTTGTGTGGGTGTATCTTTCGTACCAGGAGTTGTACGAGAATCTTCAAGGCGTTTACGTAAGGTCTGAGATTCTTGTAAATGTTTATTTTGTAAGGCTTGATGTTTCTTTTTAAACTCTTCTTCCTATAAATAATAAATTAACCGTTTAATATTTTCACACAATTGATCTTAGGTTTACCCAAAAAATTAAGTTAATCCAGTTTCACCTTGAACACATTTCTGTTGAATTTTCAAGATTTATAGGGTCATAGCTTTTAAAATGATTTTCTTCTCTTATTTACATTTTCAAAAAAAAAACAAATTTACAAGGAGGAATTTGGATGTACAAGGTGGAAAAGTGTGGATTTAGTTTAGATTAGGTATTCACAGGTTTCATGGTAAAAATATAACTGCTATAAATTATGCATAATGTAATCAGAAAGATACTTTTCTGAAGATAAATCAAATATTTTAGTTTGAATAATACAAGATTCTCTTTCAAAAATTCTCTCAGTAAAAATATTCTATAAAGTCTTGTTCTATTTGAAAGAAATATAACACACAGTTTAAATATCCTGAATAATATAGTTTCTAATATTTATAATAAAACAGAACAGATTAGAAAGTTACAGCTGGAATATTCAATAACCCAATTTCTAATTGTTACAAATAATAACTGACTAAGTCTCAAATATAAGATAGTATCCAGAATGTTACTTAATAAATCTGTAAGAAATAAAGGTGCAAATTAACAACCCTTCACCAAATGATGATAGACAAGACGGGATTGATAATAGGATAAGGTGCTCTGATATTTCCAGGTTATTTGATTCTTTTATTTCATAGATTCTACCAATTTTCAGATAAATCTTTTAAAAATAACTTTTTAAATATTAACTCTGTCCCCACCCCACTGACTCTGTTATAAGTTTTGGAAAAAGAAATGTGGGGTATGTCATTAAAGGGAAAAGATATATCCTGTA